ATGGTGGAAAATAACAAGTACAAACTTACATTAATTGTCAGTTCCTTTTAAAACTGTGAAGAGAGAGTGAACTTTCTGAAGACGAGAGCTGGTTAGACCCGCCCATGCTCACTGCTGCTGCTTCCTGATTGGACGAAAATCATTCAAATCCTTGTTTAGGTCCCTCGTCATTGTTTTAACTATTCCCTCAACCAGCAAATCTTCTTGACACTTATAAATAAACTATTGTTGAAATTTCTCGCACATGATCGTACTGTATGTGCTATGGTCAGACAGAAATAAAGAAAAAGGGCAAAAAACGAATACAATTTAAGTTACTGACATCACCTTTAACTACAATATGAAGAATTATTCAGTTGTTTCTAAAAAAAAATGACAAGGAGCCACTGCTTTTCCTGAACTCAAGAACTCAGTATTTCAGTATCCTTACAATTTATTTAAAATGCATCTACTTTTACCCTCTAAACTAGAATATTCTTGGCTTTTTTCGGTCGCTACAGTACAGTTTGTGATGTTTTTACCACCTTTATCAGTATTTTTAGTTACGTATATTTAGCAACATTGAGGACTCCTTCCATCACTTCCTGCTTCAACTCCAAATAATGTTAATCACGAAGACCCTCTGGCAAATATATTCATTTTTTACCCACGAAATATACAGCAGGCACGAAATGCTAGCACTTGTTTATTTGCATAGCCAAACAAAAGTGACCTCAAAACCTTGAAAGATCGTTCAAGGCCAAAATCTCTCGTTCTTTCTTCTTTCGGGTTCATGCAAATGTCAAAGAGTGAAAAATACAACAAAACACAACGAGGACAAATGGACAGACTGGGCCACAGATGCTTCCAAAGCCTGGGCGATAGTGTGATCTCATGTCAGATGTCCTGCACACACACACACACACACACACACACACACACACGCACACACAGACTTTGGCCAATGAGCTGGTGAAATGTTTTGACCAGTTTTTAAGATATAAGAAAAGATAGACATTATTAATCTCACAATAGAAAAAATTATAAGGCAGAAATAGTGAAAAAATGTATACAAAATTTTAAAGTAAAAAAAAATAATAGATTGAACGGTACTTTACAATTACATTTAAAGTGACTATAGCAGAACGATCCAACATCCAAACAGCTTTAGTCTACTGACAAAAAGCTGAATAGGTTTAGTCAACAGATCGGTAAACTATATGCAACCGCAAATGTAACAAAAATAGCGGTTTTCTCTCTTGGCTCAGCTCTTTTGAATGGCACTTCTTGCAGGTAATGATGCACTGAACTTCTGTAATAACAGCGTGACAAGCATCAAGATTCAGGGAAGCGGCTTTTCCCTCTCCCACACTGTGACACATGGCAATTTTATACAATTGCTCGACATTTCAGTGACAGAGAATAAATTGAGACCAGAGTCCAAAGTGTTCCCGTCTCTATACAGTACTATTATGGGGTTTTCTCTCTTGTAGAAATGGTTTTAGCTGTTTGAAGTGCTCCACACACGTCAATAAAGACAATAAAGAAAACTGCCCAAGTTTGTTTTACTGTCAAACTGCAACTTAAAATAATATGTGTTTGTGTATGTACAGAAAACACACAGTTCTGTAGCGGTGACATGATAGTAATGTAGTAGTAGATTGGATGATGTCAGTCAGAAGATTCCATCATTTCAAGCAATTTATTTGAAGGTATATAGGAGGATTATCTACTTCTGGGTGGATCATCAAGACTATTTCTCCTCCTAATTGTTCATCATTCTGTGGAGCAGCGGTTCTTCCCTAAAATTTGGGAAAATCCATACCTCTTTACTTAGACTTTTATTTTCACAATTCCCATACCAATAGGAAATTGGTTTGAATCCACCATAAAAGTGAGTTTTAGGGTAATTTACTTTTAATAATTGCAAAACTGGTAAATACAACTTGACAGAAAAAAATATGGAATCTTGCTTAAAGGCTAAGTGCTAACTGTTTTCAAGTAAATAGTGTGTTGCTATGGAAACTTACACCCGTGCAAAAAAACCAAGCTGGCTCGGCTCAGAACCAGAACCAGTCCAGAACAGGTTAAAGGGGTTTCAACTGCCATAGAATGTAGGTTGCCAAGAGACCAAAAAATGGCTACATTTGAATTTGAAAAAAATTGAATTAAAAGATCATATCCATTAAAAAAAACAATGACGTAGAAATAAAAGGAAAAAGTTAAGACCAAAATGCACATGAGCTGAGAAATTACACTTCCAAAACGAAAAGCCGTCACATGTTCTGTAGTGCTTAAACTAAAAATACATATTCCATAATGATGAAACCACTGTGCTAAAAGTGAATGAATAGTGTTGACAGAAATATTCAATTGTAAAAGCTCCTCGTGACTGTGGCTTTCTTCCTCCATAGTCAGCACCGATAAATCCTTTTAGCGTTTATTTATAACTCTTATTAGTTCGGAGCTGGCTAGCTTTTTATACCGCCACATTCAAAGGCGGCGTGACATTTTTTCTGAGTGAAATCCCTTTGGATCCGTCAAACTCACAGCCACTGAAAGGCTTAACCAGATTAGGCCATGCCCACTGCACTAAGCTGAGGCTGAATGCGGTAAAACGCTGATGATTGTGATGCGCTCAGAGTGATTCCAACAAAATGAACAAAGTCTGGCCAGAGGTCCTTAGATACCTGCCTTAGACTGATGTGATGTTTTTGACGGAATCAAAGCGAGAAACAATAAGTCTATATGCTAACGCGGACAACGAGAATGTTAAAAGTTGCAAACGAGATTGAAGTGATGAATTCCAATGAGTTGTGGTTGAACTTACACAGAGAGCTGGAGATACTTTGTAGCTCTTTGTCCATATTAAAAAACATTTGTTTCTGTCGGTTTAAATCTTCAAATCTTCAGTGTGATTTTACTGCAAATGGCAAATTAATTCTTGAATCTTCTTGAATCTTGAAGTATGAAGACTGGAACATGGAAGCATAAGGTTGACTTGGGTGACAGAGTAGCGCAATTGTTAGCGTAGTCGTTAGCACAGTCGTTAGCGCTTGTGCAATATCAGCAAGAGGATTTTTGATTCGAATCCACCTCCAGCCCTGTTTGTGGAAAGTATGCATTAGAGCTGCAACTAACGATTATTTTGTAATCGATTAATCTATCGATTATTTTTACGATTAATCGAGTAATCGCTTGGCTGTGAATTGTGTAGAAAAAAAATATTTTTTCATCACAAAAAGCTAAAGTGGCAACACTCGAGGACGTATTGATGGCGTAAACTTAAAGTAAATGTTTGTAACAGGCTCTTTGTGCTAATTCTGCTATCTGATTGGATGAGACAGACAGATATTCATGAAATTATAAAAACAAAGTCGGTTTTAATCAAAAATACTACATTTTCATGTCATTTTTGCTCAGTTTGAGTCCTTGTGAACCAGAAAACGATTAATCGATTACTAAAATAGTTGTTGACTATTTCAATAATCGATTAGTCGTCGATTAATCGATTAGTTGTTTCAGCCCTAGTATGCATGTTCTCTCCAGGTGCTCCGGTTTCCCCTACCAATGAAAACATGTACAATAAGAAAAAATTTAATGAGAAAGTGAATGAATGGATTGTGATGGTAGGGGGCTTCGATGCACCAGTGTTTGATGGTGTTTGTGTGACCTTGGTCTGTAAAATGCGCTAAATAAATAAAGATTACTAACTTAATGTGTTGCATTTAAACCTGCACTCTACAAATAAACCATGCCACTAGGGTACACAGGATTCCCTATGTTACCCGAATTCCAGATGTCGTTGCTTGGCTTGGTCAGGACGACTGGAGCAGGAGGATTTACTTTAGCTGCATTTTTGAGGTGGTGGTGGAAACCGGAGCACCTGGATTAAACCCTCCCACACACACGGAGGTCCATGCAAACTCACAGAAAGGTTGGACCAGTGCAGGGATCTAACTCGAGACCTTCTTGCTTCAAACACAATTGTCAAACATTCCATTCAATGCTCCTGAAAAGGGCCATTGATAAAGCTGTGTCTTTTATTTAAAATGTCTCTCTACTTTAGCTGCGAGACCTTGGAACAGCACCTGAATGATAAAACTGTATGAATATAAGATTACATACTTGTGTGGGGCTTTTAATATCAAGCGGCACACACATAGATCGGCATTGGCCGTTTTATTCAATACAGGCCACAATATAGATTAATTAGACTACTATGACTTGATAATGGAAAATTATGCAGTGACTTCCATGTGGTGTTTTAATGCAATTAAATTTGTTTGTAGCCCTAAATCACAGCAGCAGTCGTTGATGGACCAACAGCAGATCTGAGAATCACACAGGAAATGGAATAATTAACAAACACAAAGGAGCCATTGGTTAATTGGGAGCAGGATGACCAATGTTCATAAATGTTAATAAATGTCCATAAATGTCCTTTAATTGTCCGGATCATCACTGTCCTTAGACCCTCCTGCATCGGCAAGCAGCAACTAAAATATATTTCAATAAAATAAAAAAATATATACAATGGCATAACAACATTTTTAACCAAACATACGTTGCCTGGAGTTTTTATTTGCCATCAGGCACAGTGAAACAGGCAGAGATGGGTGATAAACCATTTTTTAAAGTTGTTTTTTGAGTTCTCAGCAGTCAAATGCAGTAAAATACAGGATTACATGAATTACTTGCATTAGGTGTTTTTTACAATTGTTTAGTTTCTGGTACTTTCTAGTTTTTAGTTGCATAAGATGAACCAGTATTGTGTACAATTCAGTGAAATTACACTTTTAATTTTGCATCCCACCTAACCTTATAATGAATGTTCTTCACAGATGCTCTTATGCCAAATCCAGTTACAACCACCTTATGCCTGTGTGGATGCTTCCAAATAGGCCTCAGTGGTTCCTTTTACTATATAGGAACTTGGAGATAATAGAGGCTAAAAAATCACATAATGTCTCCTTGGTACTGGTTTAGTTCATTGTTTCTACAGACCTTTAGTGTCAAGACTAGAGCTTTATCTCCTTCCTGGTTCCCTTCTTCCATCTCATCTCCTCTCTTCTTCCTGGTTCTTTTCCTCCTCTTCGTCTCCTTTCTCCTTCCTCTTCGTCTCCTCTCTCCTTCCTGGTTCTTTTCCTCTTCTTTGTCTCCTCTCTCCATGTTTCTCTTCCTCCTCTGTGTCTCCTCTGTCCTTCCTCCTCTGTGTCTCCTCTGTCCTTCCTCCTCTGTGTCTCCTCTGTCCTTCCTCCTCTGTGTCTCCTCTGTCCTTCCTCCTCTGTCTCTCCTCTGTCCTTTCTCCTCTTCGTCTCCTCTGTCCTTCCTGGTTTTCTTCTCCTCTGTGTCTCCTCTGTCCTTCCTGGTTCTCCTCTTCCTCTGTGTCTCCTCTGTCCTTCCTCCTCTGTGTCTCCTCGGTCCTTCCTCCTCTGTCTCTCCTCTGTCCTTCCTCCTCTGTCTCTCCTCTGTCCTTCCTCCTCTGTGTCTCCTCTGTCCTTCCTCCTCTTCGTCTCCTCTGTCCTTCCTGGTTCTCCTCTTCCTCTGTGTCTCCTCTGTCCTTCCTCCTCTTCGTCTCCTCTGTCCTTCCTGGTTCTCCTCTTCCTCTGTCCTTCCTCCTCTTCGTCTCCTCTGTCCTTCCTGGTTCTCCTCTTCCTCTGTGTCTCCTCTGTCCTTCCTGGTTCTCCTCTTCCTCTGTGTCTCCTCTGTCCTTCCTGGTTCTCCTCTTCCTCTGTGTCTCCTCTGTCCTTCCTGGTTCTCCTCTTCCTCTGTCTCTCCTCTGTCCTTCCTCTTACATGTGTCTTGTGTCTTCGCTGCGTTCCTGAAGGACCTCGCTTTTTCCGTGAGATGTTCTGTATTCTGCACAGCGCTTGTGGCAGGAACTGCTCCTCAGAAGGTATCTCACTTCCGAATTCCTTATTTCCTTCTTCTGTCCTTCTGCACATGTGTTTCTCCATTCTGTGTGTTCCTTGCTCACCTCACGCTTGTGTCAGTTGTGCTTTTTGCTTATAAATGTTTGTCGTTGTTTATTGTAAGTTTTATGTATGCGTTTATTTTCTCTTAGAATTTGTTTTATTATTATAAGTCTTCATAAGTATTTAGGTTTTAATGTTGGTTTAATTTAAATGGAGCAACTAAAGATGGGCGAAATGGACTAAAATATGTTTTTGGAGTTTGTCAATATCAATAGTCATACATAATATGTCAATGTCAATCCAACAGAAATGTGGAGAAGCATGTTTTTAAAATCTAATCTTGTGTTAAATTCGGTACAAATGTTAACAAAAAGGCTGAAAAAGATAGAAAGTGCTGAAAAAAAAATGTGACTATTAAAAATCAGTCAAAGAAATTATCCCTTTGACCTGCCCTCTTCACCATCAGCTAAATACATAATGTTGTTTAATCAGTTGAAGACAGCATGTTGTGGTCCAATTTAATCTAGGGTTGTCAAACGATTAATGTTTTTTAGTTTTTTTAGTTGAGCATAGTAATGGTGAGTTAACTCACGTTTAATCGCATTTTTAACATTTTAACATTTAACATTTCAAATCCACTCCAATTGAAGTTAAATGAGATTTTCAAATGTAATGTCACATTGTTATTCATACCAAATGTACTTAAATCTGTTTGACTTGCTCACAACCTTCTACTTTTGGGTACAACCAACAAGAGCTGAAAGGGAACAGCTTTCTCCAGGTCTCCTCTCCTCCGTGTGTCACACAACATCAGAGAATGGCCCCTGTGCGTGTGTATATATGTGTATTATATGACCACGTTTCCGCTGTCATTATCACACACGCACGTGTCCGCGGCATTCTGAGTGATATTATTATAAATGGCCGGGTCATTCGGACATTCGTTAACTCATTGACTGGCAGCCTATTTCAGAACAGGTACTCCCATATTGCTAGCCGTTTCTGGTGATTTTTACTGAATTTTCAAGACCCACAGAATATTGTGTACTATGACTATCTGAAATCAGAAAACCAGATTCTGAAAGAATGGACTGTCTACTTTCATCAGCAAATATAATTTTGTTTCTAGCTGGTTTCGTTCCCCTGTAATCCCCAGTCGAGTAGAGGTAAGTTTTATTGAAATCACCAGAAAGTGCATCTAGCTGTTTTCAAACCATTCATAGAGCAATGCTGCCATCTGCTGGCTCGATAAAGTATTGCCTCAAGCCTTACATATTTGACACAATAGACATCTGGGAACGTGAAAATAGCGGGAAACGCAATTGACGTGTTAACACGTCAATGGCAGTTAATGCGTTAATAATTTTTTACGCGTTAATGAAAACGGTCATTAACGTGAATTAACGCAATAATTTTGACAGCCCTAATTTAATCACAATCGTTTTTTCCAATGTGGATTTACTGCAAATGGCAAATAAATTCTTGAATCTTGAACATTTTACCTTTTTAGAAGATTTTGTGTTTTCTGTCGGGGCAAACAAAATATATCATCAATGAAAAAAGCTTAGGCTCTGGTTTTGTTTATTGCTTTTATTTCAGCCAACCCCAACAACACAAACCCTCTTATGCTAACCCAAGCCTAGCCCTGACGTTGCACTGGTTTATCCCCGGAACGAGTTGGTTTTACTGGTTTCCTTCTGTAATGGATGACATTGAAGCCAAGGTTAATGGAAACAAATGGAGAAGCTGTTCCCTGTCATTGGTTTGAAAAGACTCCACCTGAAACCATAGCACATTCTTGAGAGGTTAATGGCTGCTGCGTCTTTGCCATTAGCGAAACAGCCGAACGGTGCATTTACTTGTCCCGCCATGACAGCACTGTTTACTTCATAATAGAGGTACAAGCAAAAGTCGGTGTAGCGTGACCTTTGTTATAGCTATTCAAATATCTTCAAAAGGCATTCTAAACACAAATATATATATATATATATATATATATATATATATATATATATATATATATATATATATATATATATATATATATATATATATATATATATATATATATATATATATATATATATATATATATATATATATATATATATACAATGCCATATTATGATGAGTTGGCGTGGTAAAAATACAACAATACAAACTAAGCGGTGGTTGAAATTGGTTAGGATGGGCATATTTATGGATGAACAATCAACCAAAATAAAATCTAAAATCCATATTCTGGTGGCTATAAACCTCTGAATGTGTTGTGTCCAAACTTACTTTTAGAAATTCCTTTGTCAACGATTTGGCTCTTAGAAGAATTAGTTCATATTTGTTTATTTTGATTAGAAACTGGTTGTTTTTCTTCTGTTTTTTTTTGTTCGTTCTGTGAAAGTTTGTGATTTGCATTCTTGCATTGCCAACACAGTGGTATTCTTCTTTCTATATTTGCTGATCTTGCATGGAAGCTTCACCTGTTCTTTATTTTGCTGTGATCATTTTGATTTCAATGGTTTTGTTCCATTGTCCATCGTTACCTGCAACACACACACACTTATTAATGTCACATTCCTGTCTTGAATTGCCAATGCTTTCCAAAAACGAAAAAGCATTAATATCCTTCTGAAACATGACGCTTTTGTTTTCCAAGTCATTCAAAGGCATATTAAAAAAAATCATCATAGACCTTGAATGTCTTTATATATGGGTCTCATCAAACAAAATCATTTTTAAAGGATATTTTACTGATGTTATTGGCCCCTAGCCTCACAAAGTGGCAGATTCTAATACAGGGGTGTCAATTGAGTTCCAGGAAGGGCCAGTGAGGCTGCTGGTTTTCATTCCAACCAAGCAGGGGCACATCACATTCCTCAAGTCTTCAGGTTAAGACGGGACTCACTTGTTGAAATGAGTGGAGTCTGTTTTCTTCTGCTTGGTTGGAATGAAAACCTGCAGTCACACAGGTTTGAAGACCGGTTTGACCCCCTCTGTTCTAGAACAGTAGACATTGAACCACAGTCTTAACACTCTCTGTCTTATCAGAAGAACAGGTTAATCCTTAAACATGACAAAGACATCATTAATTTGTGTTTGGTTGTTGATGGTACAGGGGGAAACACTGACGGAGTGTTTGATGTGGACAAAGCCGTGGGGACCATCGTCATCGCTCGACCCCTGGACGCAGAGCAGAGATCCTTCTACAACCTCACGGTCACGGCCAGCGACGGGACCAACACGGCAGCTACACAGGTGAGAAAAAAACATCTCTTAAGCACATTTCTACAAAATATATATCACAATTCATTTTTGTAGAGCCATAAATCACAACAGCAGCTATCTCAGAGGACAAAACCGTTGATTCGCCAACACCAGAGAATCAAACAGTTCAAACAAATGCAATGATAAAAAACACATACAGTAGAGCCATTGGTCCATAAGGGGCAGCTCACCAATGTCCATAAATGTTGATAAAATAACTTAAAACATCCTTACAAACTCATACACTATCTAGCCAAAAGGTGCATGTAACGTTCCCAACCAATATATCTGAATACATGTATATCTCATGATTTAACAAGTTTCTAAAAAGGAGTATTTGAACAGAAGGGGTTTTATGCCAGAAGTGTCAAATATTAGTGTAAATTGGGCTGAAAACAACAGTAGTTTTTGTAATAACCAGAGAAAATTGGTTAAAAATGGGTAAAACCTCAAAAAAGAGTACTTTACAACTGGCCCATCAAGAGAATACATGTTTGCATTAATCAGGCAAACCCAAGGCTGAAAATATTTAGAGTTTTTAAATATACTTTTGATAGTAGCGTTCGTCCACTCACATTGAGAGCTGGAATCCTGCTTTATCTCTGTCCATTTGGCAGAAGGAAAAGCTGGCCTGACATACCATTTTCCACTCACCTGTCTTGAGTAGCAGCAGACACACCTATGGGACGTGTGGGCAGATGGACGGGCAGCGGGGCGTTACTTTGGCCCAAATTTAGACTCTTGTCCTGGACTCGTTTTTATTGGACGCTCCCCAGACCGTTTCCCAGAGCCCGAGTCTGTCCATGCAACACACAGCTGCTCAGGAGTTCACTTCTGGAGGCGCTAAAGTCCTGGATATACAGCAAAAAATTATAGTCGTGAAGTTTTTTATTGCCTTTCAAAGCAAACAGAGACAATATAGTTTATGCAACGAGGGGGCATTCGTTTTTTTATTCCAGTTATAGCAAATCAATATGAAAAATATTTAAGTATTAACCTTAAGCAAGTATTTGTTGAGGCATTTTCTGTTCTTATGAATGACTGCCATATACTTGTTTATTCTTTAGTGGAAAATTCAAGGACACAAACCACTGCTACTTCTTTTGAAAAACTTTCAATCGGTTCTTGTATTACAATCAATAGAATAATCTTAGAGCTCACTCAAGTCTGAATGTGTAATAATATGTTTTAAAGGGGCATTAAAACAAAGATTATGGGAATCAATATTTCGGGAATGTAATGTAAGTGTAAGTGCTGCGCAGAACAGCCTGAATAACTCCTACTATCTACCTCTTAGTTTTTGGATTATTAAGCACAAAAAAAGTAAGAAATGACTGCTCAAAATACACTCAAAGTATAATCTTCCTTTGCACAATTTCTCTTGGATCTGTCAGTCTCACTTTGACCTTATTAGCTTCTCCTTTTTTTGAAATGTCTTCAAAAGGAAGCGCTTTATAACTGAGTTTCCATTCCAAGAATACATTTACTAACACATTTTATTACATATTTCTACAAACCAGAAATATGTCACCATGTAAATTTGAAGTGACTCAAATAATTGTGTTCAAAAGCAGATTAAGTAGTTGTGTACTGACTGAAGTAACGCTGAAATTATGACCAAATATGTGTTCTCATTTTTTCATAATTTTTTTTCTTGTAAATCCTTAAATTGAATGTACAAAAAATGGGCGACTAATACATATTTTGATTGACTAGAATGCCATCAACCAATTAATTGACTAAATATTTAAACAAAAGAATACCAATCTTGAAAATGTCCATCATCTTGCATCCGTAACATCCATCCCCTTTTCTCCCCAGGTGCACATCACAGTTCTGGACAACAACGACAACACCCCGGTCTTCTCCCAGCCCACATATGACATCACCATCTCGGAGGACACGCCCGCGGACTCGGAGGTGGTGCAGGTTCTGGCCTCGGACCGGGACGAGCACCACACCCTCACGTACTCTCTGCAGAGCGCCATCGACCCCAGCAGCCTGCGCCTCTTCAGGATCCACCCGACCCAGGGGACCATCTACACCACGCACAGGCTGGACCACGAGGCCTGCGCTCAGCACATCCTCACGGTCATGGTAAGGGCGAGAGCGAGAGGCGGAGGAGGAGGAGTGTTCTTTGGAAAGCCATTCTAGGGCCAACTATCAAAAATGTACAAGAGTGAGTTTTAAAGCTGGCAAAGAAACTCTCCTCTGTATTTATGACAGTTAGTTAATCAAAGCTTGGCTAACTGTTTTTAATCATAGATAATTCATGTGGTTTTTCCCAACGGAAAGAGACTTGGGGTAAGAAAGTAAAAAGAAAAATGTGTTGTGTTGATTGTGTTTCATATTATTGGAAAACATGTGATATTTTACATAGTTGTTGGTCGGTTGAATGAGGGTGGTCATCCAGTGATAGAACAACACTGTTTGGAGAGCAAGCCACTTTGTTTTTCATTTTTTTTCTTTTTTTTTTAAACATACATTTTACCAAGAAAGTCCAATTGAGATTAAAAACCTCTTTTTCAAAGGAGTCCTGTTGTGTTTTTTGAAAGGTATGTAACCAAGATTTGACTTTGATGTAGGCATCCTTGACACACTAAACCTACTGTTTTAAAAGCAAACGTCACAATAATAAGAGAAAATAACATACAGTAACCATTTAAGTAGTATTCATCATCTTTGAGAAGTAACTTTTTACTGTTTACCTCTGGAAGTCTGTTGTGAATGCACTTTGGAGACCAATAATATATTCATGCATTTATTTTGGCTTTTTTTCCATTCTTTTTCTTTCATTAAGTAATTGTAAGGGTCTCTTCACTCCGTTTAATCCAATTCACCAGCAAAGTCTCTGGGATAGAAGTGTCGAACAATGCATTCACTCAACACAGTGTGAACAAAGCTTAATGGATTATCTGTTCCATTCCCTAAAAACTGAGGAAACAATTAGCTGTTGTAGGTTATTCAATAGATGTGTGTTTATTTTCTGTTTAATTCTTTTCCAGGTAAAAGATCAGGAGTTCCCGTACAGGAAGAACCTGGCCCGCGTACTGGTGGAAGTGGAGGACATAAATGACCACGTGCCGATCTTCACCACGGCTCTGTACGAGGGCTCCGTGTACGAGTCTGCTGCTGTGGGCTCCGCCGTGGTGCAAGTCACTGCTCTAGACAAGGACAAGGGCCAGAACGCAGAGCTGCACTACTCCATTGAAGCAGGTAATTCCACATACACTTTCTCATAAAGATTCAAACCACCCCATATGGGCATTTTCATTATCTTTGATCATCCACAACAAAAGAACTTGGCGACCAACTCTTAAGTCCAGTGTTGGTTTCAGACAATTAACTTCTGCTGTGAAACTTTTCAACATTCAATATAACCACATTGGAAGAACTGTAAGTAAGTGTTCCTGTCCCCAGTGTACACCAAAACGAGAATATAGTACAATTGTGTTAGGAATGAATTGCTGGGGGACTGTTGCCATAGCTTGAAATCCATATATAGCAGATCTTTTCGTTTTTTCTTTTAACTTGTCACGAATTAGCTTGCATAATAACATTGTACATTTAATTTTCAAGAACAGTGTTAGCCTTTTGTTGTGCACAATTATAAACACAATTGTGAAAGCTGATGTTGCAAGCAGAAGATTTCTGAAAATGGAACGGACTGGTAAAAGGAAAATAGATTACGTGGCATAATACATCGTTGTGTGTCTATGATTAGCCGTAGAGGGCTTATTCTTTTGTAAATCTAGTTCTGTCTTGGTTTGAGATTTATTATAGAAAAGATATGGCCCGGTTCTAGTTCAGGTTTGTGTTATTTTAGATATTTTTATGCAAAGATTATGCAAAAACGCACTTTATTATAATTTATTATTACATGGGCTTCACAATTGCAATTTCAATGTATTATTCACAACAACATAGATTTCAGATTGAAATTGTGTGCAAATCTTTGTCACTGACCTAGAAAGGGTCCAACAATGTATATATCTAAGAAGTTGATCTTTGCTTTACAGGTAACACTGGGAATGCCTTCCACATCGAGCCCGTGTTGGGAATCATCTCTGTCGCCCGAGATTTGGATTTATCGAGCATCGGCCATTACGTCCTTACGGTCAGAGTCACGGACAATGGCTCTCCTCCTCTCTCCACCACCACTGTAGTCCGGATCGCTGTCACTTTATCCGACAACGCCGGTCCCAAATTCCCACAACCAGAATACCAAGCTGAGATTACGGAGAACGCTGTTATCGGGACATCTGTAATTACTATCAGTGCTGTTAGCCAGTCGACGCTCACTTACAACATCAAACTTGGCAATGCAAATCATGTTTTTCAAATCAACCAGTACAGCGGAGTTATTACTACCCTAAAGCCGCTAGACTACGAGACCAAACCCTCCTACACGCTCATCGTCCAAGCTGCGAACATGGCGGGTATGGCCACAAATGTCACCGTGATAATTCATGTTGTGGATGAGAATGACAACCATCCCGTATTCCAGCAACTCCACTATAGAGGTAGCATTAGCGAGGCTGCCTCAATCAATAGTGTTGTGCTTAACTCGGATAATTCTCCATTAGTTATCAAAGCTACAGATGCTGACCGCAACCAGAATGCTGTTTTGATTTACCAAATTGTTGAAGACACAGCAAAGATGTTTTTCACCGTGGACTCTGGAACTGGGTCGATAAGAACGATTGCTAACTTGGATCATGAAACAATATCGAGCTTTCATTTTCACGTTCATGTAAGGGACAATGGGAAACCTCAATTGACAGCGGATAGTCCAACAGAGGTCACCATACAAGTTATTGACACCAATGATTCGCCACCGCGCTTCACTCAAAATGCGTATGAAGCTGTTTTGCTTCTACCAACTTATGTGGGAGTAGAAGCTCTGCAAGTTTCAGCCATTGATCCGGACAAAGATGTACCCACGGAGCTAACATACATGCTAACAGATGGAGTTTTGGACCATTTCACCATAAAACCATCCAGTGGTGTGATTGTCGTTAAAAACAATAACTTCTCAAAAGAACGTTTCAGATTTAGTGTCAAAGTTTCAGATGGTAAATTTTCCAGTACTGCTTTGGTGACGGTCGTTGTTCGTGAGGCATTGGATTCCGGTCTTAGCTTTTCTCAAAGTATCTATACATCATCTATTCAAGAAAATGTTTCAAATATCACCAAAGTCGCTGTTGTGAATGCCATCGGAAATCGCTTGAATGAGCCGTTGAAATATACATTACTGAATGCAGGCACAAGATTTAAAATTCGTCCAACTTCTGGTGTCATCCAAACTACTGGAATCCCCTTTGATCGGGAAGAGCAAGAGTTTTATGAATTGGTTGTGGAAGCGAAGCGTGAACATGACCGTTTGCATGTAGCTCGTGTTTTAGTGAGAGTCCAAGTGGAAGACATCAATGACAACGCTCCAGTTTTTGTCGGATTGCCATACTACGCAGCCGTCAAAGTTGAAGCTGAACCAGGATCTCATATTTTTAAGGTCATGGCTGTTGACGGGGACAAAGGCATCAACGGAGAGGTGTCATATTACCTCAAAGATGACCACGGACATTTTGAAATGAACCGCCATTCTGGGATTTTAAGCCTAAAACGCGCATTTGAATCTGATTTATCCAATGTGGAATACCAAATGGTGATTTTTGCAAAGGACGGAGGGCATCCACCTTTATCTACAACTGTTGAGTTTGCCATAACAGTTGTGAACAAAGCAATGCCAGTTTTTGACAAGCCTTTTTATACTGTGTCTGTCAATGAGGACATATCAACTCATACCCCTATTCTTGGCATCAACGCCACCAGTCCAGAAGGCCAGAACATCATATATACTATAGTGGATGGTGACCCTGCTCTTCAATTTGACATTGGCTTTGATACTGGTGTGATCAGCGTCATTCACTCTTTGGATTACGAAGAAGCCTCATCTTACCGTTTAACCATAAGGGCAACGGACTATCTGACCAGTGCAAGAGCTGAAGTTGACGTTGATATTGTTGTGCTTGACATTAACGACAACCCTCCGATTTTCCAAAAGATGTTTTACAAAGTGGTTTTATCTGAATCTGTCATGATCGGTACTCCAGCTCTTCAAGTTATCGCAATGGACAAAGATTCAGAGAAAAATAACATTGTCCGCTATCAGATTTTTTCCAACGACCACAACAGCACTGATTATTTCCACATTGATAGCAGTAGTGGTTTGATTTTAACGGCCCGTATGCTCGATCATGAACTTGTCCAGCAATATAACTTCATTGTGAGAGCCACTGATAACGGCTTTCCGCCTTTGAGCAGCGAAGTCTCAGTCATTGTTGTTATAAACGATTTGAATGACAACCCACCAGTTTTCCACCAACTTCTTTACGAAGCGTATGTGAACGAATTGGCTCCAAGGGGTCATTTTGTAACCTGCGTCCAAGCTTCAGATGCCGACAGCTCTGATTTTGAAAAACTAGAATACAGCATTTTATCTGGAAATGAGAAAAGGAACTTTGTAATGGACAAGCGAACAGGGATTATAACTGTATCAAGTCACCGCAAACAACGCATGGATCCGGTCTATAGTTTGAATGTGTCAGTTTCTGATGGAGTTTTCACAAGTACAGCTCAAGTTCACGTAAAGGTTTTGAGAGCCAATTTGTTCAGTCCAGTGTTTGAACAAAATCTATATGAAGCCGAGATCCGAGAAAACTTGCATGTGGGGACAAGAGTTGTACAAGTAAGTAGCACTAAAATGTTTTAGTTGTGGGGTGTTTAGGCGGTGTAATGGCTAAACGGTAGCTCATGTGGTTATTTGTTAACACTATACTGCTAGTTCTTTGTGCCACTGTACTTAGGGATTACACATTTTTAGAGCCATTTTATAAAGTGATGTCAACCTGACTTTGTCAAAGCAACCGGCTCATAAAAAAAATAAAAATAAATCACAAAAGCTTGCTTAAAATTGAAACCCTGAAAAGCAGCTACATGCTTTGCACATATGTTTCCCCCCTTGTCTTGGTTTGATTTTTTCCCTTGGACGAGTTAATTAGTTTTTCTCCAAGTGATTTTCAGACACTCTTTCCCAGTGTGTAACACACATCAACGAATAGTAGTTTCCCCAAAGAAGATGTGACTGCCTGTATAATGATGAATTCATAGCAAATAGCTGGCCCTACATAGAGACAATATTATAATTTACAATGTTTGTGTATTGCATTTATTCATATTTGAATATTTTCTCTAGGTCAAGGCGACTGATGCAGACCCAGGGGAATATGGCCAAGTTTCTTATTCCTTTGTGAATGAAGTTGGAAAAGACCAGTTCAGTATCGACCCCAATGGACAAATCCTCACTTTGGAGAAACTTGACCGTGAAGATCCAACCAATAAGAACATTATTTTGACCGTTGCTGCCCAAGACACCGGTGGACGGGCTGCTTACTGCACCGTCCAAGTCACTCTTTTGGATGAGAACGACTGCATACCACGTTTCCAAGCAACTGAATATAGAGCCTCTGTCAAATCGGATGTCGCCAAAGGACATTTAGTCACCCAAATCCAAGCATTTGACCAAGATGCTGGTTTAAATGCCAAAGTTACATATTCTCTTTACAGCGAGGCTCACGTTCCAGTAGTAGACATTTTGGAAATTGACCCGGATAATGGTTGGATGGTAACTAAAGGCAGTTTCAGCCATCTGCGAAATTCAGTTTTGTCCTTTTTTGTGAAGACTGTGGACGGTGGAAACCCAATACGTCATTCACTAGTTTCAGTGTACATACATGTCCTATCCCCTGATTCATTCATACCATCTTTTACCCAGCAACAATTTCAGTTTACTACACCTGAAGACATCCCCATTGGTTCAGTTATTGGTAAAGTCCATGTCAATATGCCTCCTGGACATGCTTTGCTTCCTGTCACATTTGCTTTAATCAATGGAGAGGTAGGAGAAAACAACCAAGATGGCATGTTTGTGGTGGATAAAGATACTGGAGTGATTAAACTTGACAAACCGTTGGACCATGAGGTTGTGAAAGGATATAATTTTAAAGTTTCTGCAATGGTACAACAGGCAAAACTAGACTCTGTAGCCTCAGTTGATGTTGAAATCAAAGTTTTAGATTTGAACGATAACAAGCCGGCTTTCGATGCCAACAACTATGAAGCTACCGTGATGGAAGGCATGTCAATTGGGACAAAAATCATCCAAGTTCACGCCATAGATCTGGATTCTGGCGCCAATGGACAAGTTACATACAGTCTTGGAAACATGATCCAATCAGAAATGGACTCTTTGCTTGAAACCTTCAGCATCGATGCCAACACTGGATGGATTTCTACGCGTAAAGATCTTGACCACGAAGCCAATCCGTCATATACGTTCACAGTAGTGGCGGCGGATTTGGGAGAAGTGGTTTCTTTATCCAGTACGACAACCGTGACTGTAGCAGTGTCTGACATTAATGATAACCCGCCAAGATTTTTGGAGCAACACTACTTTGGAACAGTCCAAGAGAGCGACCCTCCAGGGCAAGTGGTGGCTGTACTCAACACCAGAGATGGCGACAGTTCTGCTGTGAACCGCCAAGTCAGCTACCATATCATTGGTAAGTTCAAATTTGAGATTTGCACACTAAATGCTTTGCGGACTGGGGAGGTCATATGCTATCCACATTTTTTTTGTTTGAGTTCAATGTACATCAAACATTAATTTGCAGACGTCACTGCATAGAACTTTCCAGCAAATCATCCATTTAGATTCAGATTCAGATTCAGATTCATTTATTGGCCATGTGCAGTAAAAAAACTACATTGGAATACATTTGCAAAAAAAGGTACTCTGTGTGCACCGACAGAATAAAAAGCACGATACAATGTAATATAAATACACATACACTGAATATAAAATAATAAAAAAACAGCTGACACTGTGGCACCGATCAAAAAAACAATACAAGGGGTAAAAGCAGGAATTAAAGTGCTCTGTTTAGGCACCTAACAGCCTGTGGAAAGAAGCTGTTTGCATAGCGAGATGTCTTGCATCTCAGTGACCGATATCTTCTGCCAGAGGGAAGAAGCTGGAACATGGCTTTCCCAGGGTGGCCAGAAGAGTCACCGATGATTTTAAGAGCTTTGTTTAAAAGTCTGGATTTGTAAAGAACCTCCAGAACAGGAAGCTCACAGCCCACGGTCCTCTTTGCAGAGCGGAGCACCTTGTTTAAAGCTCTCTTTTCTTTATCTGTGATGTTTCCAAACCACACAGACACAGAACCAACAAGTAAACTCTCAATGGTGCAGCGATAAAAGTTAAGCAGAATCTTAGAGTTAGTGGTAAATTCTCTAAGTTTCCGCAAAAAGAAGAGCCGCTGACGAGCTTTCTTAACAACCCGGGCAGTGTTTTTAACCCATTTCAGGTCGTTAGACAGAGTTAAACCCAGGAACTTGCACTCCTCTACGATCTGCACCTGGGAGTTGTCAATAACAACAGGAGTGTGAGAACTGCTACGACTGAAGTCAAAGACAAGTTCACATGTTTTTGCAGTGTTCAGCTGGAGATTGTTTACTTTACTCCACTGAAAAACATGTTCGATCTCTGCTCTATAAGAGGAATCATCATTGTCACTGATGAGACCGATGATGGTGGTGTCATCAGCATATTTAATGATCAAGTTTGAGTCAGAGGAGGACACACAATCGTGAGTGTACAAAGTAAAAAGCATCCATCCATCCATCCATCCATCTTCTACCCTTTAATCCATTTCTGGGTCAGGGGGGTGGCAGTCAGAGATGCCACCCAAGTCTCATAGCACCAGCCCCTCACTGACCCTCTGCAGGTGGTGAGTCCACAGGAGGACGGCTGCTCTCTGAGTGTGAGCATAGCCTTGATCTTTCAGTGGGGGCTTTGGGCAAAGTGGGGTTAAGTGTCTTGCCCAAGGACACAACGACAGCAGTCATCAGTGGGAGTCGGTGGAGAAGGTGCAGAGGTGGGAATTGAACCCACGACCGTCTGGGCTTAAGGCCAATGCTCTACCAACTGAGCTACTGTCGCCCCAAGTAAGAAAGTAAAAAGCAGAGGACTCAAAATACATCCCTGAGGAGAACCAGTGCTCACATAAACAACATCAGAAAAACAGTCATTGATTTTTACTCTCTGAGATCTGTCAGTTAAAAAGCTAAAAATCCATTTACACATGGCAACATTCAGACCAAGGGACATTAGTTTTTCAACCAATATGCTTGGGACAAGACAATTAAAAGCAGAGCTATAATCAATGAACAGCATTCTCGCGACAGATTTACTAGTGTCCAAATGAGTGTAGACAGAGTTCAGAGCAAAGGAGATGGCATCCTCCACACTCCTGTTCTGTCTGTAAGCAAACTGGAGCGGGTCAACGCTCACAGGGATCTGGCTCTTAATAAACTCCAGCACGAGCCGCTCAAAAGTCTTCATAAGAACAGACGTGAGAGCCACAGGGCGGTAGTCATTGAGACATGTCACTGGAGACTTCTTAGGAACTGGAATAATGGTGGACCTTTTAAAGCTCACCGGCACCGTACAGCTCCTGAGTGACAAGTTAAAGATGTCCGTTAAAACAGGGGCAAGTTGCTCGGAGCACAGTTTCAGGACGCGGGGAGGAATGCAGTCCGGGCCTGCGGCTTTCCGAGCTGTGGTCCTGGACAAGACCCGTCGTACTTCATCCTGAGTCACTGTGAAGGCACCCTGACATTCGGGGAAGACAAAAGGCAGGGGATCAGCAGATTCAAAGCGGCAGTAAAAGTCGTTGAGCTCGTTTGGCAGAGTTTGGCCAGCAGCAATTTTCCCTGCACTTGGTTTCCAGGACGTGATAAGACTGATCCCCTTCCACATGCGTCGGGGGTCCTCTTCCCCAAAGAAGCCCTCTAACCGGTCCCCATAGGAACGCTTAGCAGCTTTTATAGAGCGTTCCACAGCGTAGCAGGACAGCTTGTAAGCACCCTCATCACCGGATTGAAATGCCAGTGTCCGCTCATTAATTCTAAGTTTGACAGTGTTCATCCAAGGTTTTTGGCCGGAGTGTTCTTTAATAACTTTATAGGGGACACAACAGTCAATGCAAAATTGTATGTATCCTGTCACAGCCTCACAGAATTCATCAACATTCTCAGAGTTAAAAACAGACCAGTCTGTGGCATCAAAGCAGCCCTGCAGCTTCATGTTAGCCTCCTCAGACCAGCACTGCACAGTGCGGGAAGTAGGTTTGTGCTGTTTGTTCCTCTGTGTATAAGAAGGAAGAAGGAGAACAGCAGAGTGGTCAGACTTCCCAAAAGCAGGTCTGAGACTGGACCTGTAAGCTGCCTTCACGTTACTATAGCAGTGATCCAGGATGTGAGCTCCCCTGGTAGGCTGACTCACATGCTGATAAAAGTTCGGTAATACAGACTTTAAGTTACATTTGTTAAAATCACCACCAACTATAATCACAGCATTGGGGTGAGCAGCTTCATGTTTATGCAAAATGTCACTTAAGTCATTCAGTGCAGCTGTACAGTCAGCCCGAGGATGAATATATACAGCACATAAAAAAATCACTGAGAATTCTCGGGGAAGATAGAACGGGCGGCATCTCAAAACCAGACACTCCAGGTTAGCAGAGCATGTTTTGTTAACAATAAAACTGTCAGTGCACCAGCGCTGGTTAATTAAAAAACACACACCTCCACCTTTCGATTTCCCCGTGCTCTCCTTCTCTCTGTCCGAGCGGAAAATGGCGAATCCCGGCGGATGAACAGCTGAGTCCGGGATATTCGGATGCAGCCACGTCTCGCTGAGGCAGTACACTGCGCAGTCCCGAGCCTCGCGCTGGTACTGGATTCGGCTCAGGAGATCATCCGACTTGTTCGGGAGAGACTGAACGTTCGCCAGGTAAATAGGTGGCAGCGGGACCCTGGGGGCGCGACTCCGCACGAGAAGCCCGCCACGCTTTCCCCGGTGTCTGCGCTTCCTCCGTCGGCGAGAGACACCCGGCTCCGCACGGTGGTGAACACGGGGGAGGCGCCCGGCCTCATCGCCCTGTTCCCAGTCTCTGTCGCGGTCCGCACGCCGCTCTCCTCGAGCTGGACACTCGTCAAAGCCCTCACACCTAAGAGCAGGCGACACTGACTCACAAGCCAAGTCCCGTATGTCCAGGAGAGTCTGTCGATCATATACCACAGTGGCAAGTGTTTTGTGAAAGGATAAAAACAGTGAAAGGATAAAAACAATCACGGTGCACAACGGAGCTCTTGCAGCGGCGCCCTGGCACGGCGCCATCTTGGTCATCTGTAATTTAAAATTACTTCTTACAATACTGCACATCATTCAGACATATCTTATATCTTAGTCTTATACAAACCTAATATTAGCTTCCAATAAACAAGGAAGTTTAGATTCAAGTAAACCAAAGTTTAAAAACATTGTATCATTACAATAGTGCAGTTTTTCAAACAGTCATCAGATTGTGACCATACAGTATCTATTGTTGTAAGTAAGTAAGTAAGTAATATTTTTGTATATGTATATATTAAAAAAAACAACCAAGCCAAAACAATTATGGGATTTAGTAGTGATTAGAATATTAAAGTAGTTGTTGTAATTGTAACTGATGACAAGTGGGGCGACAGTGGCTCAGTTGGTAGAGCATTGGCCTTTGAGCCTGGAGGTTGTGGGTTCAAGCCCACCATAAGACCTACTTCACGACTCCCACTGATGTCTGCTGTGGTTGTGTCCTTGGGCAAGACACTTAACCCCACTTTGTCTGAAGCTCCCACTGAAAGATCTCAGCTCCTGTGGACTCACCACCTGCAGGAGGATCAGTGAGGGGCTAGTGCTAAGTGAACTGGGTGTAGCTCCTACTGCCACCCCCCAACCCAGAAATGGATGGACAAGTACCTATTTTGCTTTCTTTTGCTATAAATGCATTACATCTTTGTGCAGTATTACTCTTGTTTCAATTGCCCAGGAACAGACTGCTTAGAAATAGAAGCTGTAAAGTGCATAGCATCGCTGCAGAACATAAAACTCTTTCATATCTGATAAAAGTTATGTTTAGAAATATGTGAAATCCCCAGGTTTAATGCCAGACTGCTGGATACTGCTGGGCCTTCAGTGACTGTCTTTGATTGATGTGACCTTATTGTCGAATGGAGAATGACTCATGAAGCACTGCGGGGAGACGACAATCAAACGTATGGAAAATATAACGACAGATCTGACCTTTGCTCAGCCGCTGCACAGAACCGAGGAATGTTTAATAAAGATGAAGAAGACATAGTTAGCCCCTGTGGATTTACAGAGATCACATAATGACACAGGGTTATAGACCTTTCTCTTTATCTGCTATTATACATTTTCGACTTCATCTACTTCCAACCACAACTGTCTCTCACGCCAGTATTCACGAAGATGGTTGCTTTGAAATTATATAAAAAGAAAAATCAATGCGCTTAGAGATGACTGGCTTACCAATCTAGTGAGGGTATGAATCATATTTTGTCCTTAGGTCAAAAAGATTGCACAAGGAAGACATTGTGCAGTCTATAGTAAAAGACAAGCCATGGAAAACAAAGTGACGTCTATGATAGACTCAAACAACTCAATTAAGAAAGTAAAATGTTGTAGAAATAGTAAAATTCTACTATCTTACTCTCGCTTTTGCATGTTACTTAAAACATGAGCATTCTTGATGGCAAAATCAAAATTCCTAAACCAGACTAAAAACAGACCACTGCTATTAGGCTTTGGGTTTGCCTTTCTCTTTGTGCAAACAACTTACGACACTTATCTTGAAAGGCTAAAGTTCTTGAGTTTAGTCTTTAAAACTGCACTTCATCACATCAGAGATAAGTATTTTCACTCCATAATGAGCAAATAATGAAAACAAATGTATTTGTTTTTTATCTGCTCGGGGTTCTGATAGCAGTGCTGGTGGGAAAGTGTGATATTAGAGTGATAAAAAGTCTCCCAGACACTGACTGAATGAAAGCAGCTTGTTTGGGGGTCACTGGAAAGATTTGCATCCATTTGATCTGTGTACAAGTAATTGCTCAAAAAGTTGAGAAGGATAAAAAAAGTTATTTTAGAAAAGCACTGTATTTTTCCCTTTCTATTTGGAATGGTTTTGCTTTGTGAAAAGTAATGCAAGACAATGAGCAAACTTGTACTAACAACCCATCTCAAAGAATTAACGGGTTCCAATTTTACCCATCATTTAGAAGGATTAAAAGAGAAGGCAAAACACTTGGTCCACTGCTTTTATATATTCAGTATTGCGCTTTTTGTGTGAAATTTCGGTTTGTATGTTCTTACAGGGGGGAAAAAAAAGTTTACTTGTTAAAGCTGCGGTACCTAACTTTTTTCCCATTTTTTTATTTTTTTATTTTTTTATTTCTTTTTTGAGCCGTTTACATTTTAACATTCACCTTTACATCATTCTATTAGAGGCGCTCCAAAAAAGAAATGGAGTAGGCTGAAGCCAGAAGCTTATATATACGCCTACCCCGTAATCACTATGATATACATTTACATTTCCCGGTGATACTGCACAATCAGTCCGTATCCAAAATAATAATTCCGAAAAACAAAACAAAACAAAAACAATTACATTTACTCAAGTACATGAACTTGAGTAACTTATAGAAGTAACTGTACGTCTTAGAGTATTGTATCCATACAGTACTTTAACATTTTTACTGTACTCTTACGTGAAAAAAAAAAATAATAGTTACATTTTCCATCCGAAGAAAAGCTTCAAAACATCAAGAAACAACATTCACCTACGGATTAATACAATTAATCTTCTTTGAGTTTATCATTAACTGAGATTGAGTTGAGTTGAGTTTATCAAGACTTAATACAATCAATCCAACATGTTTTTAGAATTTTATTTTGCTTATTTGTTTAAAAGTCACTTTTTGATGCTTTGGGCTAAGACTTGAGGCTTATTCTTTCACTGTTCTGTCTAAAAAAGCCGATAAAAAAGACTGTCCAGTTTGAAAATGAGTTTGTGAATCTGTTGCACAGGTGGGAACTACCGCGGCGTGTTCGCCCTGGGTCTGGTCCAAGGCGAGTGGAAGATGTACGTGAAGGGCCCTCTGGATCGAGAAGACAGAAACCTGTACGTCATCAATGTCACAGCGAGCGACGGCTTCTTCGTCTCCCAGGCAACGGTGGAGGTGTCTGTGACGGACACCAACGACAACATCCCCATCTGCGACCAGGTCAGAAACACAGGAACCAGCAACAGGAAGCATCAAAGACGGAAAGATAAAACGCTTGCATGAAAGCCATGTATGAAAAAGAATTCCAAAGAGCCTATACTTTTTTCCCCTGGTAACTATGGTAACAGTTGAAAGTCATATTTTTAGTAGTAGTATTTCCGAGCTAATCAATGACTAAAACTGTGTCAAAGTTGTATCTTCTTTTGTGAGAACTTACCAATTCATTATGGGTTTGATGTTTTCTCATAAACGGTGTCCAGAAGTAGTGACAATATTTTAAAAAAAAACATGTAGGATGTTTGGAGAATAGAAAGGACTCTCAGATCTTAGAATAATATGGCAAGTTTGTGAATCTAATAACACACACACCAAAGGTCCACGGCACCGGAAAACACCAATTGAAACGTGCATAAACTTACACATCAAACCTGCTTAATAAAAGGGACTTAAGCTTGTGTGCAGTTAAGTCGGTCCTTTCAAGAAGCTCCTATGATGTCCTGTCAAACAGCTAATAAGTATGTTTACAGTCTGAGCACAAATGTGGGAGTAGGACAAATCAAGGACTCTTATTACTTTCTTTCAATATACCTCATTTAGCTCTCATATCGTTGGTGACTCAGTTATGATCCCTAAACCCACTTTGCCAGGTATAGATTTTAATTGGCACCCTAATGTATTGTTCTTTTTTTGTCGTTTTTAATTAGACTGTAAAAGCTGAAGGCAAGGTGAAAAGTGATTTAATGAATTGGATGTCTTTCAGTCGGTGTACACTGTTTCTGTGTCGGAGGACGTCCCGGTGAACAGCGTGGTTGCGAGAGTGGTGGCCGCCGACGCAGACGTGGGGATCAGCGCCTGGATCCAGTACAGTCTCCATGGACCTGGATCGCAGGACTTCAGCATCGACCCTGATTCTGGTGAGAATGCTACAAGACTCCTGTAAACGAAGCCATCACAGCAAAATGGGACACAACATACGACTTTGAGTTTTAACGCCAGAACTCCCAGATGGATTATGACACATAATCTATTCTATAAAAAAGAAAAGAGATAGCCGCTTTAGCAACCCACCTCCTGTTCATCAGATAATGAAACACTGCATAATCTTTAGTTTGCAAGATACAGACTGTAATCTCTCTTTCTTTTAATCAAAAGAAATACAGTATATGTTACTAAATGAGAGAGTACAGTCAAAACGTTGAAGCTACAAAAACGGTACTATGTAATACAATCCTCACTCTCAAATCAGCATGGAGTTATCATTAGGTTTCACATTTGTGCATCATTGGCGTCTTCTACATATTTAGATCCGCTTTTGAGAGAGAATGAAAATGAGAGAGAAGTAACAAGGTGCAACAACCTCAAGCTGGATGCATGTCTTGATAACATACGTACTAAACTCTTCTTGGTATCCTACAGGTGATATCAAACTAATGGTGAACCTGGATCGGGAGGTGACACCTGCCTACCGACTGGTTGCCAAGGCGATGGACGGTGGCGGCCATTTTTGTAGTTCTGACGTTCTTCTGAGCGTGAGTGACGTGAACGACAACCCTCCTCTGTTCACGCTGCCTCACTACACCGCCAGTGTGTACGAAGATACCGCCCCCAGAGCCCTGCTGACGCGCATCCAGGCCATAGACCCTGACCAGGGTAAGACCGTCTCAACCACCCTGCGGACGTTTGCAAAGCTCTAGTGAAAAGCAGATCACTTTCCTCTTCCAATTTAATTCAAATGGGAAAGACATGTGGACATCAATGCGTAATGTGTGACTGGATTGAACCATTTTCTATCCTGTTTAAGCTGGTATCTAACATGTAAAGCAGATCCTATTGAGACTCATTTAAGAGCACAGGGAAAAAATATGCTTATATTAGAAATGCATGTACTGTATTTGGACCCATACATGCGACTCATTTTGATCACTGCAATAAGAAAGAAGTCCTTCACTACATGTTTCATTGATTTTGTTTTGTTATGATGGGCAAAAGCATATCATTTATATAAGGAGCAGACTAGCTGTTTTGAAGTCAAACTGAACAAAATCTAGCTGGAGCCAATTACCTTATAAGGGCACTTGTCCCAATGGGGTTAGCTTCACGCCGGAGCACGGGCAGATGCAAAGTAAAGCCTAGTGTATACTCGCGCGGCGCGGAGCTTACGGAGGTGACTTGACGTCACTTGCGCAACGCGTTGGTCACCGCAAGGCCCTTACGTTGCCTGCCGCGCAGCATCGACATTTTCTAACTACGTAAGGGTCGCCGCAAGGAATCTCCGCTGTGATTGGTCCGTGTGTGTGTATTGGAAGGAAGCACGGAGCGGCTGCAGCAGGGACATGGACGAGGCACTTCGGAGCAGACTGCTTCAAGCTTCGAAGGAACCGAAGGAAAAGCAGTTTGGGCTCAGAGCCTGATATACAGGAGACTGTGGACTATCTAACATATATATAACTTATATCTAACATATATATAACTTATAAACTGTGGAGTCGTTTGTTTTGCACTGTTCCTGTCTTTGTTTGAATCGTAGCTGCGTTTGTTGCTTTCCTCCTGCACTCGTAAATCGTTCATGTTTGTCTCAGATATTTACCACTATTATTGTTTTGCTGTTTGTGCTGAAAACTATTTAATAATAACTATGTTTCCAACAAGAACTGTGTCTTTATTCACAGAATCACAGTTGAAATGACAAGCTTAGTCACTTACACCACATCCACACTATCCTCTGTTCATGCTGTTTTTTTGTATTTTAAATCTGTATTTAAATGTACTTTTTACCTGATATGTAAACCGACCTTGAGTGTCTAGAAAGGTGTCTAAGAAATAAAATCTATTATTATTAAGGTAATACTAAACTCCTTCTGTGTCATTTCCATAGCTGGTCCGAGCCGCACTGTAGTCTACTCGTTGATCGACAGCGACGGTTCCTTCTCCATCGAAAAGTCTTCTGGGATCGTGGTTTTGGAGCGAGTTTTGGATCGCGAGGTGCAGTCTTCGTACCAGATCACGGTGCGGGCTTCCGACCAGGGCACTCCTCGAGCTCTCTTCTCTCTTGTCAACGTCACCATCACCGTCTTGGACATCAATGACAACCCCCCGGTGTTCGAGAGGCGGGACCAGCTGGCCACCGTCCAGGAGGATGTGGAGGTGGGCACCGAGGTACTGAGGGTCTACGCGGCCAGTAAAGACATCGGCACCAACGCGGAGATCACCTACAGCATCCGATCTGGCAACGAGCATGGAAAGTTCCACGTCCACCCGCTCACAGGTGAGTTCAAGTCTCAACAAGCATAGAAAACTTTCACTAGATTCATCATGTGTGGTGATGTATGAGAGAGATTTATATGTTGATTATATCTTGTCACAATGATATTTTAGACGTTAAAAATAAGAGTACAAAATTATGAGAGTGAAACATTAAAACAATATGCATAAATTCATGGCTTGACGATAGGTACAAGTTCATTATGAAAGTTAATGATAACGACCTTCAAAAGAGAAATGGTGATAATCCAGGACACTCGACATTCCAAAACATGGACAATGAACCCATATGGACCATGGTCATCGGCCTCTTATGGACCAATGGCTCTATGTGTTTTTTTACCATTTTCCTGCGGGAAGGGAACTTGCGGCATATTTCAAAAGGTACATGTTGATCACACATAAATTTCAACGGAGGAAATAGGCGTAATTATATATTAATATAGTAATATTTACAGTCGATGATGTAAATACACACAGGGAAACACAGGTGAAACACATAAGGGCTAAGCAAAAGGACAGACAGGAAGTAAAACTCAAACTCAACAAAAGCAAAACTATATATCAAAATAAATGACAATTAGAATGTTATGGGATTTTTTGTGATGGCACAAAAGTTCCAATGGATTATTTACTCTAATCATTCACCCACAGAAAAACCAAAAACATGAATACGCATTTTGCTTTTCTCAGGAGCGATCCTTGTAGCTCAGTCCCTGGACTACGAGACCTGCCGAGACTACTTCCTGACGGTGGAGGCCCGGGACGGAGGGACCCCGCCCCTGAGCGCTGTTACCACGGTGAACATCAACCTGACCGACGTCAACGACAACGCTCCCATCTTCAGCCGTGATGTGTACTCTGCCGTGGTGTCAGAGGACGCCGCCATCGGAGACGCTGTGGTTCAGGTGAGGTTACAATCTCTGTCTTCTTGGGCAAGACAGTTAACCCCACTTTGCCTGAAGCCTGTGTCGTCACTAACAGAGAAACAGCTCCCCAACCCAGAAATGGAAAAAAGGGGAAGAAAATGGATGATTGAATGGCTCTGGCAGTGTCATATAGACCTCCAGTAGAGTGTAGTGCAGGGGTCTCCAACCGTTTCAATTGGAGAGCTACTTTTATTAAACAGAAATGGCATAACCTGTATGTTTAAATGCTCTAATTGACCTATAGTACAGAATATGGTCACAATGAGCTGTAGAAAATTCACTCATTTATTACTTAAGTCCCTTTTATAAAATGTGAAGCAAAGGTATTCAAGATGATGTTTAATCAATAATTAATAAAATGAGTCTTTGAAAAGCCATCATATATTTCTCCTTTGATTCATTCCCTGCAACAAAACTCAACTTTAAGGTGGATTTGCATGAAGTCAAGCTCTTTTGCTAAACTTTCCATGTCACTAAAATATCCTCGCTCTCGTCACCGGCGTCTCGCTCTTAAAGTACCCAGGGTGTCTGTTACCGTGGAAACACAGGTGGGCAGTGACAGTGCTGGAACAGAGCGTGATCTGTTTTACAGCTTATTAAGAAACAAAGGGAGGAGAGGAGCTTTTAAACAGGTGTATCTGGTATTAGGGTTCAGGGGAGAGGCGCCCAAGGGAAATGGAAAATGGTGGAACATGTCTGATTTGTAATGTCTTTCTGAGCTGGGAATGTGTGATGTGAGACTCTGTAAAACACTTTCATCAAAAGTGGAAAGGCAAAAATCTCACCCAATTGAAATCACACCTACTTGAGAAATAATATCGCTTTCCAGCAGCAACCCTGCTGTAATTTCTTGCTTATCAGATGTGATAGGCAATACCATTTCTATTTGGCACCTATCTTATACAGACACAATTTGACTTTAATAATTACATATCGCTCTACTGAGATAAGATAGATAAGATAAGATAAGATAGACTTTATTGATTTCACACTGGAGAGTTTTACAGGTCACATTTGGCATGGATAGAATCACTCAGATTGTGCAAAAGACAGAAGTGTGCAAACATGTTAAAGGTTAGAAATATACAGTAGTCTTTGCAAGATATAATTATGTACAATAAAAAGTGTCAATAAAATAAAGAGTGGCAATAGCAGTACAGGCTTTTTTCAGTTGTGTTACTTCATCATAGTTTGCAGTTAATGTAAATAACCACAATTTAACACATCTGTTCAGACTCGCCAAATTTGGCTAAATCTATCTTAACTTGAGAACATTTTGACGGCCTTAAAAAATGAATGGCCAATGGGACATGCACAATTGCTGTATCTTGTTTTTAAAAGAGGTCTTGATATAATCCTGCCATAAAAAATTCATATTTTATCATTTTTGTGAGTTTTTTTTTCTTTTAACTGTGTACCTTTGGGGCGACCTTGAATATCTAGATAAGCACCATATAATTCTAATGTATTATATCTAATGTATTTTTCAATCCACCAACCCCCATGTGTTGTCTATAGCTCGCCACTTTTCTACATATGCCTACTCTTTTTTTGTGTGTTTGTCAAAAGTTTCTCACAAATAGCGTTGGAATGAAATGGATTGGACTGTCAAACATGTAGAGCTACAATATTATCATATAATTGCAATCCATTTTCTCAAGTGATAGCAACAGTAAAAGTCCCATCAAAGTTATGAATGTTGATGGTAATGGTTTCAAGAGATGGATAGAAACTTCTTTTCATTCGAGAACACTGTCCTGTCTCATTACAACTTAATAATACTCACTGTTTTCCTGGATTTATCGTTTCACTGGGTGCATTCATGTTAACCGTGTGTGTGTGTGTGTGTGTGTGTGTGCAGCTGGTGGCCGAGGACGTGGACAGCCAGACGAATGGGGCGGTGTTGTATTCCATTGTGAGCGGAGACAGAGAAAACCAGTTCTTCATAGATCTGCTCAGTGGAGTCATCAAAGTCAACAAGCAGCTGGACCGAGAGACGGTAAGGAAAACTCTTATTATATAAACAGGCTGGACCGCTTTATAAAGTCAACTCGGATTATTAAATAATTATAACATTGAACATGGCATCATTACATAAAAATGAACCAAAATACCCAGAGAAATAAACTCGTTCCATTACAAAGACACCAGAGGAGCCTTATGACACTAGAGGAGCCAGTTGCAAGTATTTCAACGAGTGTCACCATAATGTATTATTATTATTAATCTTCAATAAGGACACAGTAAAATACGGTTCATAGGTAAGGGTGAGTGGCTCGGTGGCTCTCAGCAAGAAGGTCCTGGGTTCAAATCCCGGTCAGAACAGAGTGGAGTTTCGTCTGGGTGCTGCGGTTTCCCCTACCATTAAAAACATGCCCAATAGGTAAATCCTCCTGCTCTGGTTGTCCTGAGCAAGCCGAGTCTCAAAATCTGGAGATGAAACATGTTATTTTCACTGTAATCAATAAGTTTAAGATGCAAAACAAGCCTTACCATCTTTCTCTCATGTTACAAATTGGAGTTGGAATCATCTAATGTTACAAATCAATAACTCTATGTGGGCTGTCTGTCAGAAGTCAGTCCTTATTGACAATTCTACTTCAAACATTGACGTTAGCTGTATATTGTGAAGGGCCACAGTGCTTTTCATGTGGTTACCATTTTATTTAAATTGGAACAACATTATTGAGAATAACATTCTTCATTAATAATGTAACAAGCATGTGTTTATTAGTATCTTTATGTTTGTGCTTATTCTTTTTTGCGGCTATGTTTGTGTTAACCTTTTTCGTTATGGGAGATATTTTGAGTAAATGATTATTTTCTGATCATATAATTTCACAGACAAAGAACGTGTTTTGACTGTCATCAACTGTCGTCAACTTAATGTTTGGCTGGTTGTGTCTTGATTATTGGCCGTTCGAGGTTCAGTATCTTTAAAAACAGATTAGTGATTGTGTCATTATAATCTTGGGGATTTTCAGTAAATCGTTAATGTCCAGCCCAACCTTTGCTAAGTGCGTGGCTAAACTAATAATATTTAAGCGTGACGATTAGAGAGAGCAGTTGGAATTCTCTTCTGCAAACGGTGATTACACATTTCCGCTTGTTTTCAGGTCACTTAATTTGATTGGATAAAGGGGAATTTAGAGCCCATTAGCAGTGGAGATAGAGTTTTTAAAAGCCATTTTCTTTCTGCACGAGGCCCGATTGCAGACAGCCAAGCCCTCGTCTCGCCTTTGGACACAGTTCCCTCAGCGCTAATGCTAATGAGCTTCCTCTGTTATAATCTGCAGTTACATTTGTCGTTTGGCAAAGACACGGCTGCGACCTGGCGCGAATTAGCCGGCTTCACCTGGAGGCTCTGCGTGCATTTACATTTCAGTCACACGGCGGAAGAGCAGACGAGACTTTGAAAGTACAATAGACAACATGGAGACGTCTTGAACCATGAAACACCCCGGCAAACTAATCCTAATGCTGTTGTAGCTACTGTAGAGCTTTGATCAAAGCCGCATGCGCACTTAAAGCTGGGGTACCTCATTTTAATTAGGTGGAAATAATACATTTTGTTTGGCCCATTAGAAAAAGCCTTGGAAAAGTAGCAGTAGTAGGAATTGGACCACAAGAGTCATTTTGGTGTAAGAAAATGTCTTTGCAAACCGGGATTACTTTCAAATCACAAAAACTGAAACCCTGTAATGGTATGATACGGTATGTTTTTTTTATTTTTACATGGACAATGTAAAGCAGGGGTGCTCACACTTTTTCAGCATGCGAGCTACTTATAAAAGGATCAAGTCAAAATGATCTACCTACTACAAAAATGCAAATCACATATTTATTTCAAAAAATATTCTTTATACCTACAATGTATGTTTATGTACATGCAAAACCGCATGAGCCAATATAGCACAACACAACACAATTACCTATGTACATTTTTTGTCATTACCCGAGTTTACTCTGATGACTTGCACTGAATTGAATCGGCCAGGGATGCATAGTCCGGAAAATTGGTGGTAACTCGCTGACAAGTTTGTCGTTGTTTAGCTTTCCTGCACTGAGCGCGGTTGTTTGCGCATGTGCAGTCACCTAAGTGTCAGTAAAACATTACTGAGTAAAACACAGATGTCATTTGACTGTGGTGCCATGTCCATGTGCCATGCCTGGTTTTTTTTAATCCAAATATTTCCCCTCCTCAGTTTATAAAATAATTTGCATCCACACATCTGTGTTATCAATCACATTCGTAACATTCCAAATATGTGCGTCTCTTACGTCCTGTCCTGCGTTGGGGAAAAACACAGAAGTGGGCGGAGCTTTGATGCAGACGCCGGTAACGGCACTTTTACAGTCATAGAAGACACTCAGAGTAAAGACGTATGTTTACAAGCACTGACCCCGTCCTCAGCCCTGGTTTAGTCCTGGTTTAGTCCTGGTTTAGTTGTTTTCGAGCGTGAGTCCCCGCGATCACTTTGTTGCTCTCTGATGTGGAGCGAGGATGTTTGCTGCTGCGAGCATCTCACAGCAAACAGTTTTTAAGGTAGTATGATCCATGCTTCAGTGATCAGAGGAATTTAGGGGGGTACTGTGGCGTGCGAGAACGCAAAACTCCGGTTATCTCTGTCTACACACAAATGCATTAATGGAATTTTCAAAAATCTCCACTTTGCCCGGAGTTTTTTGTATATATTCGTTTAGAATGTGTAATTTTTTATTTATTTAATGCGATCTACCAATACTACCTTTGCGATCGACTGGTAGATCGCGATCGACGTATTGAGCACCCCTGATGTAAAGTAAACATTAGCCAAGGGGAGAGATGCATTGTACCAGGTTGTAGCAGCAATGCTAATTTACAGCTGTAGTCCCTGAGCAGGTTGTTGTAAAACAGTAAAATAAAAGTAGATGGATGTTATAATATACAGGTATACATCTTGTTCCTCACTCTCAAAACTGTTTGATTCTTTCACCGTTCGCTGATCAGAAGAAAGTCGAGGCTTTGATTCTACCTTCAGACCAGTGGGGGCGGGTCCCGGCTCAAAAGTGGCCAAAATGATGTGCGCTGACATGCTTGCAATACCACCCCGGGCCGATGGGGGTGGACCCGGAATAAGCTCCGCTCCACATGTGCGTCAATGCTGAGGGGAGTGAATTATTTTGGACCTCTTTAGTTTACCTGCTGTGAATGTTTGAAGTCACTTGTTTAAATGAATGGGGCTCGGGCCGGCTGACGCATGCGCAGATGCGATTTTTCACATTTTCCAGCCCCCGCAGCCATTTTGAATCAATCCATGAAGGCCCAATTTATGCCCCATTAGTTAGAACGGCGGAGATAGGCGTACCTACGTCCGTTAACATATACTGGGTTGGCGTCGCTGGCACCGCCCTAAGTTGGTTTAGGTCTTACCTTGAGGACAGGAAGTACTTTGTGGAGATTGGAAACTGTGTCTCAGATCATATGGCCCTGACCTGTGGAGTACCACAGGGGTCAATCCTGGGACCTCTTCTGTTCAATCTCTACATGCTGCCGTTAGGTCAGTTAATACGCAGAAACAAAGTGTCCTATCACAACTATGCAGACGACACTCAGATCTATGTCTCACTGACTGCAGGAGAACATGGACCAGTGGACTCACTCCTTCACTCTATCCAACAGATCAGTGAGTGGATGCAAAACAACTTCCTTCAGCTAAACGCAGACAAAACTGAAATGATTGTCTTTGGTCCCCAGAAACAAAGAGAGAGCGTCATCTGTCACCTACAGTCTCTCTCCCTAAAACCTTCAAACCAGGTCAGAAATCTAGGGGTAATACTGGACTCAGACTTAAATTTTAATAGCCACATCAAATCAGTAACATCAGCAGCTTTTTACCATCTAAAAAACATTGCCAGGATCAAAAACATAGTGTCTAAAGCAGACTTGGAGATTCTTATCCATGCATTTGTCTCCAGTAGGTTAGACTACTGCAATGGCCTGCTCACAGGTCTGTCCAAACAGGCTGTAAAACAGCTGCAGTACATTCAAAATGCAGCAGCTCGAGTCCTGACTAGAACCAGGAAGTACGACCACATTAGTCCAGTCCTCAGGTCTCTGCATTGGCTTCCTGTGGCTCAGAGAATAGACTTTAAAACAGCTCAATCAATCAATCAATCAAATTTTATTTATGAAGCGCTTTTCATACAAAAGATGCAACACAAAGTGCTTTACAGTTTGGTTAAAAACAATCCCGCCGGCCCATGTCCCCTCCCCCCGACCACCCAACAGACCCATCCCAAACCACAGACAAACGCACACACGCTCTCATGAACACTCATACACACACACACACACACACACACACACACACACACACACACACACACACAAGTAAAACAGTAAAACAATGATGAGAGACTTGGCAGGGTTCGGATGCAACCAGTAGAAAAAGCGTCATCCTAGGAGCCGTCTGCACCAGGAGCAGAGAGCCGCCTGTAGCCACAGGGGACGACACAGGATCTAGAGGAGACCCGAAACCGAGGCCCCAGGCCCCCACCAGGTCCAAGAGTCCGACCCCCACAGCCACACCGACCACTGCTCCCAGTGCAGAGGGCTCCTCCAGAGGAAACACTGGGTACACTAAAAACAATATAATAACAATACAATATGTAAAACACAAAACTGTGAAACTAAAATGAAACTAAAATGAACTAACACACAATACATGAATAAAAGCAATAGCAATACAATAAATAATAGAGGATAAATAGAATATATAAAATGAAATAGTAAAAACTAATCAAAAGCTAATCTAAAAAGGTGCGTCTTGAGCCTGCTTTTAAAAATATGAACGTTCTCTGCGGCCCTGAGCTCCTCCGGCAGACTGTTCCAGAGACGGGGGCCGTAGTGCTGGAAAGATGCCTCACCGTGAGTGTGTGTCCTGACTTTGGGGATGGTTAGAAGTCTGCTGCCGGAGGAGCGCAGGGGCCGGGAAGGTTCATAGGATAAAAGCAAAT